TGAATGGACAGTCATGCTCAGCCTTAAATACAACCCAGATATTATCATACAACAGACTGATAAGGAGGACACCACTGATGCCATTGGCAATACAGTGTACATCCAGGAAACTTGAGAGACAATTTTCCAACACAGAGTTTTACACTCTCCTGACAGAGGACCGCATGGTACAAAACTAATAGGATTTGGATAAACTCTTACAGGACCTACCTTGGGAAAGCCAGGAGAGGATAACTGTTTCCACTTCCCAGAAGCCCAACTTTCACTTGTTAGCCAAGATCCACAAACCTGGCAACCCAGGATGCCCCATTTCCTTTGGCACCATCATGGAACGAGTTTCTGGCTTCATGGATTCTACCCTATCCCATATGCTACTGAAGCTGCCATCAATTTGAAAGGCACCACATATTTCTTATAGAAAAAACTGGCTTCCATTGACAAACTTCTAGCTAACACCATATTAGCTACTCTGTACACCAACGTCCTCCATGAAGGCAGATTATAAACTGTAAAAAATGTTATCTCTGGCAAGAAAATTACTACTGTTTCCATTATACACTACCACTTTGTCCTCACACACAACTATTTCAGGTTGAATGGCACTGAATGCCAACATAGTATGCCAACATACCTACAAGAGACTTTTAAGTCTGTTTCCTCCACACTGCCCTCTCATTCCCATGTTCTAATTAAGGAACATCAATATCATCTTCATTGTATGGACTCATGGGAAGGACTCTCTAGAGAAATGTCATCAGGATTTTAACAACTTCCAGCCATTTATCAAATTAATTCTGGAATACTCCAGCTATCAAATTATTTTCCTGGACCCTACAGCGAGGTTTTGCAATGGCCACATTGCCCTCCATATTGTATCTGAAACAAATCAACCCCAAGACCTGCCTTCATGCCACCAGCTTTCATTCCAAACACACCATCAACTAACATTACAACCATGTCTGCTCTGATCCCACTGACCAGGATGCACATATTAAGGATCTGGAGTAGAGATCCCTACAGTTACAATACAACTCCAAAACTGTAGCCACTCAAGTCAACAAAGCCAGACTCAGACCCCATTCTGACCTGCTACAGTACCAACCCAGGGATAACATAGTTCCTGTGACTATCATTTATAGTCCCCAGCTTGAATACCTTGGACATAGCATTAATGATCTTCATCCCCTCCTGGAAAAGGATGACCATCTCAAATTGCCATGGGAGACAAACCAGTCATGGAGTACAGGCAGCACCCCAGCCTCAAACAGCATCTCTCAAGCAAGAGGCTACCTTGCTCCCAGTGTCACCAAGGCATCAGGCCTTGCAACAGACACAAATGCCTTCTGTGCCCCAACAACAATACAGACCACATCATCACTTGACCAAATAATATAGATTAAAACATTCAAGGTTCATTCACTTGCAACTCCACCAGTGTCATATACACCATCACCCACTCGCAGTACTCCTCTGCTGTCAACATTGAACAGACTGCGCAATCCCTACATGACAGAATGAATGAACTCCACTCTCACATCAGCTGCAAAAAGACAAGCAAGCTTGTGGCAGGATCTTTTATCCTCTCTGGACAGTCCATCGCTGACCTGAGGGTGGCTGTTCTCAGAAAGAAAACTTTTAAAAAACAATTTGAATGGGAAATTGCAAAAGAAACAGGGAACAAGGACTATGATGGATTCTTATCCCATTACCTGGGTTAGCTTTGATGACCCCTTTGTTCCTATAGGTTTACTGTTTGTTTATTTGTCTCTGCTACCGCTGCTCCCTTCCCCTTGCTCTCTTTTTCTTCCCCATCTCCCTGGTCCTTTGTATTCTAATTTGTCTCTCCGTCTTATACTCTGTTTTCTGCATGCCCTTTCATAGCATCTGACATAGTAAGCTTCAGCATATGAAAGCTTTTGCTTATACACACACATCCATACACATACACTTTGATTGGTTTATAAGATGCAAATACACGATGTCTTTCATTTCCTGGGCAAGTACTGTAACCACTATTGTTGTTGGGTAAAAAAATGCCCCCAAAGTAGAAAAGGATCCTGGGATAATAATGGTGGTATTTAATGTACATCTCAGCCCTGAAGGCAGGAGTCTACATATGCCTGTGGGTGGACTATGGAAAGGTGACACTGATGCTAACACATCCTCAGTGCTTCAGCATGACTGTCCTAAAGAGAAATGACTGGAGGTTTTATGTAGTGCAGTCCCAGGCTTTACTTAAAGCCATCTGTACACTTTTGCTCAGAGATACTGTAGGTCACCTTGGTCCACCCATGCACTGGAATGGCTCCAGATCTGCCAGAGGGCCTAGACAGAGGACAAAAAATGCTCTTCCCTTCTGTGCAAGCTGAAGTATTCAAGGAAATCTCAGAAACACAAAGTTCTGTGCTCATGTGCAATTTCATTCTGGTCAGTACTCACAGCTTTCCTTCCTTCAGGTGGGAGCTATCATTGCTACCAGAATTTTGCTAATATATTCAGACAAAGGCAAATAAAGACATTAGGAGTAGTACAGAGGAAAATATTCCAGTATTACTATAGGAAAGATCTGTGAAAAGCCTATAGCAATTATTTTCTAGCTTAAATATGTTTGGTGTATAACCTGTAAAGTGTTGGCCCTTTGCCATTAATTAAACATAGGAATGTATTAAGTTAATACCTCAGATGAAAGGCTGGCAATTTGAAAGACTGACAGATGCTGACCTCTCAAAATGTGGCCTCTTGAAATGATGGAGTAAGGGGGAGATGAATAAAGGTATGATAACAAAGCCAGGTTGACATGTTGTCAATGATCCTACCTGATTTGGGATATGTAGCTAGGAACACATCACTATCTCTGATTTCAAACTCCTCCAGTAAATCTATGCCTTCAGGTGTGACCAACTTTGCTGCAAAATAACATCCTCTGTGTTTGAACAGGTATTCTTCTGGGGGCTCCATTTTGTCTTGTATGTAAGGAATCTGGAGGTAAGAGAACATAAGCTTATATCATTATTGTTTTTCTGTCATCTCTCAAAGTGACTACTTCAGTACGATGTGAATAAGAAAGTCCCTTGTCTGTTGGAATAATCAACATTAAAAAAAAAAGAAAACAGCAGATTGTATTACATTACAAATTACTAAGGTAATTTGCCTCCTCACAGCCTCACAGGAGAGCTGAGACTCCTTACCAGCTAAGAACTGCTGCCCAGAGGGTTTTTCCATCTGTTGACTCCTCTGTGAAATCCTATGAATTATGAACTTTCATTTCTACCCAGAAGAACTTTTACAACCTTTTCTCTGATGCCTGATGAAGATTGTTCGTGCCCAAAAGCTTGCAATTAAAGAATTTTTTTGGCAAAAATCTTGTTGGTCTAATAAAAGATATCACCTCTGTCCACAAGCCCTGATTGCTTTCTCCTCTAGACCAATACAGCTCCAACCTGGATACCTGACAGATTGTATTACAGCATTTAAATGGTACGTTTAAGTAATGGCATGGAAACAAAAATAGTTTCCCTAAAAAAGGTTGCATATCCTGTTTCTTTATTTGTACAAAAAATACATTTGTGTTGCTGAACACCAAGACCATCAATGATCCACCAATGTAAACAGCATGTGGGGGAAAAAAATCTTAGCAAGCTTTCGGGTTTCGGGCTGAGGAAGTCTCTGCAGTTGGTGTGTGCTCTTCCTGGATGGAATGAATAATAAAGAAGCCAGAGGCTGGGCTGGTATGCATGTGAGACAGGCAGTCAGTGAAGATGTAAACTGAGGAGTCAGTGAGGAGTCAGTGGGTGAGAGACAGACTGGGTTGGAAAAAGAGAAGGGGGAGGAATGTAGCAGGTAAATAGTGGAGAGGTAAGTTGGGGTGTCAGATGTCAGGCAGGTTATAATGTGTCATAAATCCAATGTCTATATTTAGTCCATGATTTTTAGTATCCAGTAGGTTGAAGTGCAGTTCATAGGCTCATCTACAAAAGGTGAGTTGTAAGTTCCCTTTGAAGACTAGAACTGAGAGATGGGAGAGGGTGTGATTGTCCTGTGAGAAGTGAGCACCCACAGGTAGTTGGGTATTCCTGTCTTTGATAGATTTCCAGTGTGCATTCATTCTGGTGTGCAGTTGTTGTTTGGTCTCTCCTACGTATTTTCCATCAGGGCATCTGGTGCACTGGATGAGATATGTCACATTTTTGGAGGTGCCAGTGTAGATGCAGGAATGGTGATGGCTCTGGTGTGGGGTGTAGTTATTGTGGGGGTGGTGGAGATATGTTGGCAGGTTTTACATTTCTTGTCCTGGCATGGTCTGGATCCACTGGGTATGGTTTGGGTTATAGGGAGCTTGCTTCTGGTGATGAGGTTAGCAAGGTTTGATGCTCATTTAAAGGCTAGGATGGGTAGTTCTGGAAAGACCACTTTAATAATGGGGTCTTCTTCTAGTATGTGTTGTAATTGTTTCAGGGTTTTCCATGTAGGTTCCAGGGAAAGGTAGTATGTCATAACTAACAGTGTATGATTTGTGGGGATTTTCTTTTTGTACTGAAGCAAATCTTCATGTGGTATCCAGGTGGCTCTTTCAAATGTGCAATCTATCTCTCTGTAGGATAGGGGCACTTTAATTAGAGTGGCTTTCAAGAGCTGGTTTAATTAAAGTCCCTGCAGCATCTCATGTATTCAGTGGCCCACACTTCAAAATGGCTGCATGGGCACTTTAACTAAAGCTCATCAAGGAAGCTTTAGTTAAAGTGCCCTTGCTGCTATTAGCATGCTCCAGCAGACTCGATTAATCCGTCTGCTCCAACGTGCTGTAATTACAGTGTGTCAGAGCAGGTGTCCTGTATGTCTACAGGCACCCTAGATGTCTCTGTGCCTCCGGCATCAGCAGTGGCAAGAGTCTCTGCTCCTTCCCCCATGGTGGTAGCAGCCTTCTCTGTCACTGTCATGGAAGCAACAGATGTTCGAGCTTTACCGTGGTAAGGGCAGTGGCAGCAGATCCCCCAACAAAGCTGCTGCTCCCCTGGGTGGCATGGCTCTATGACAGCCACAGCAAACAGAACTGCAGCTAGGCTCCCAGCCAGCTGTCAAGGAGACAGCTGCTTCCCTTCCCTCCCCTTTGGTGATAACAACAGTGCACTATGGATAGGCTTGGCAGAAATTGATTTTTAATTTTTTCAATAGCTAAAATCAAGAGGGTGGGGCTAGGATTTATTTGGATTTTTCTCAATTTAAATGTCAGGATTTCACAAAATTAGAGGTGTGGGGGGCAGACATAGTAATGACAATATACTGTTAAAAGCTTAATTAAAATCACATGAAAAAATATAAAAAGTAAATATCCAGGAATCAATATATCATACCTGCTTTAAATCATCATTTATTCATCAAGAAAGAGCTGGGTGGGCAGGGACCAGAAGAGGACAGCAGCAGCACTTCCAGAGCTCTGGGAACACGGGGAGAGGCGGGGGGCACCCTCACCCTTGGCATGCTTAGACCCAGCTGCCACCAGGCTGGAGCCTCAAATGCCCTTCACCCTTTGCCTTTCACCTCCCTCCCTGCCTCCTTTTGCATACATAGGCATTGTTTAAGTAGACTGTTATCTCGCTCCAGCCAGCTTCCCTGCACCTGTGCAGGAGTGGCAACTTGCGTAATTGGTAAGTCATTAGGCTGCCCATTATTTTCCTTTAACCTCTCCACCCTCTGTCCCTGTCTCTCCTTCTCCACTGTCCAGTAACAGGAGTAAAGGTTTCCTGTTACAGTCCCCTTTCTATAAATTGTTATTATTACCAATGGAAATATTTTTCCATCGATCTGTGAGTGTGAAGTGAACTTGGTGTTTATCGATGTTTATCAATAAAAATATCAAATCCTGCACTCTAACTATGGAGTGGTGGGGAATCAAGAGCTCTACATGTAACTGTCCGTGTATAACATGTGGCATTACAAAATGTAGTGCCAGTTTTAAAGAGGACCTTTTTAATGGTGGCTCTGCCATCCTTGTAGCGCTACAAACAGCCTGAATGAATGCACAATCGTTTTTTTTAGGACTATGTATGTATGTGTATGCATATCTACTATGTATATGATATTGCAAAAGTAACCTGTGTCCAAGGCCTTTGCAACATTAGACAGTGACAAGAACTGTAGCAAAATCCATAACTGTTTCTTTTTAGTTGTAGGCCAAAGCTACCAAACCAGAGAAGCAAAAGATCGTACAACAAAAATATCTGGGAAGCAAGCAGTTTGTTTGCTGATGAAACAGCCAGACTTGACAGGGCTTGGGACTTTATCAGTTTATTTCTTACTGTGGTCCACTGAAGCCTGAGGACAGAAACCTACCAAACTGCAGTTCCCAGGGAACCGTTTCAGATCTCCCTATTAAAATAATGGATCTCTTAGCTCAGGGGTCAGCAGGCTGAAATAATGCAGCTTGTCTAGGGCAGGCCAGTGCTTTGGAACCAAGCACCACCATGTTCCTTCTTCCCACTGCTAAATTATGGCTGACATTCATGTGACCCAGTTGCTGCTGAACACCACAGAATCTCCCCAGGGCCAAAATGCTACTGAATTACCCCACTGCCAAAGTGGCACTGATATTTGGGCTTTGTGGGCCAGATAACATTTCTTGGTGAGCTGGATCCAGCCTACAGGTCACAGGTTGTCAGCCCATTTCAAATATTATTGGGGACTTGGTTTGTTTTTGTTCACACACCACTAGATACGTCTGTGTGTCCCACAATAAACTTGTTAGAACCTGTTAGAACATGCAGTCCAACAAATATCTATCTAGGGCTTATACAGGTTTCTGTCTAGTGCTTGGAAAATAAAATATGCTCACACTCACCAGCCTTTCAGTCACCTTAAGGAAACTCTTTCCTGTCCTGTTTTGTGACTGATCCTCAGTTTCCTTTAGGCTGATCCTCAGCTTCCACTCCCATCCCAACCCCCTTTTCCCCTTTTCCTTTCCTCTCTTATTTTTTCCCCATTCCAACTCCTTAAAAATATTCAACTTCCTTTTATGTTTTGTCTGCAAGCAAGATTTTGGCATAATAGACAGAGAACAAGAGCTGGTCTAGGACAGCCATCTTAATGTAGAAGAAGAGAAATATAACTTTTCTACCAATTCAGTCCCATCAGAGTTAAACAGAAAGGCAGCTGGGCCCACAGGCTGCAGCAGTAGTGGTCAATAGAAACCCATTTTTCCCTGACCTATACAAATAGTGTCAGTACAGACAAGGATGTGGTAGATATGAGGAATCTGAGTGTGACATACCATATTTATATAAATCCAAGACAAGTCTGAATTTATGATGAGCTCCCATTAATTAGATTCTATACATTACAAATTTGTTATAATTTTCCATATATACAATCTAATTATTGGAGGGTCATCTTAAATTTGTCCCCAACTACAGGACAGGTGCAGGCAGCTTGACCTCTACACTTTGCTCACCTACCAGTTGCCCCAGTCATGCCTTTGCCCCTGCTGCCTATCCCCGCAGCTCCTGCCTCCCCACCTGATCCCCAAGCCAACTGCTCTATATCCCCATGTCACACTACTGCCCACTCCCAGACCCTCCCTGCTTCCCAACTCCCAGTGCCACCTGATCTCCATCACTCACTACCTCCTGATTCCCCACACACACTGCTGCCCCATCCCAGCCCAATCTCTGTCCATCCCCAGCCCAATCCCCCCTGCCCCCATCCCCAACGCATGTTTCTGCCTGATCCTGGACCCTAGCTGCTAGTCCCTGACCTGCACTCACTGCATTGCTCTGGCTGCTGCTCTGACTCCTTCTCTGGCTTCAGGCTCAGGTCGGGGCCAAGGTCAGAGCTGAAGTGCTGTACCCAAATCCAAAACAAGGCTTGTTTTTCCCCACATTGCATGAGGGGAAAAAACTAGTCTTGGATTCGAATAAATATGGTATCTCACAATGAGTATAGACAGACCTAATAATATCATTTCTATTAAAAGATACCAGTACAAGCTGTTATTATGTAACTTATGCCATCAAGATGCTGTATATATACAACTGTAGCTAAATTTGAACCATTAGTACGGGGTCAAAATAGGAAAATTGAGCTCATTTGTATTGCTGCGGGCTCATGCAAACATAATCTTTAGATCATAACAGGTGCTGCGTGCTCTCCTTCCCCTTTAAAGCTATTTATCCATAGCCTCCAACTCTTAGAAGCTGAACTATGAATCAGTTACCAATTAACAGCATCATTGTGTGATTGATATTTAAAAGTTATAAATTACATTTCTTTTTACAATTCAACTCCTTAATGCATACTGCTGGTGTAACATCTTTGTTGGGGAATACCTGAAAAAACACTACAAATTCAAATGCATAAACCAGAGTAGAGTGGAAAATAGACCCAATGAATGAAATCTATTCACTCATACACTAAAGATATCCACACCCCCAATGTATTATGCACTGTTTTGCATCCAGATTTCTTGAGGTAGGTTAACAATAAGATCTATACCATTAACCCCATTTACACACACAGAAAAGAAAATATTTAACATGGAAATATACTGCTGAAGACTTTTTAGCAGGATCACTTACCTTCTGTGCTCTGTTTCTGCTGCTTATACATACATACCTATAGAGCACTGCCTTCCATGTGAATAAACAAGACTGATAGTCAGTCCTTGAAACTTGCAAATATTTATATAGTACCATCTAATCAACTGTGGAGGACTCTGATTGAAGGTTCACATTGTTATTTATTTCTTCTCTCTCAGTCTTTATTTAGCTTTGAAACGAAGATTGAACCTTAGGTAAAGAAAAAAATCATAAAATAAGGTAAATCATATGAATGTGAATATACTTTGAAAAGGCTATATGTGCAAACCCAGTAATGAAAATGACTCAGCTTCCTTGCACTTGCCTGAATGAAATAATTCAACAGTAAAATGATTAGACTGTCACTCTGGCAGTTTTCATTTGTATTTTACCTTTTCAGAACAGCAGCACCCTCAAGGAAGATGGGAAAGATGGACTGGAGTGAGGAAAACTGAGCATTTGGTCCTTAATAGTTTATCAGTGAAATTGATCTAACTCCTCTTCCATGGGTTTGTACAGTGTGTCCACTTACTTGGCAAGTGGGTTCTGACAGACAAATATGACCCTAGACAGTCTTTGAGACTCTGGGCCTGAGAGTCTAATCCATACACTCCCTTCTATGGCTCCTTCAAGGCAATCCTACGAGCCACACAGCACATTCATACACAGATACTGATTTTCTATACCCAAACCCAAAATACAGCAGTTCTGCCTGGAGGAGTCTTTTTCACCATAGAATAACTCACCCGTGTGGTTCAGCTACTTGTTTGCCTTCTGTCATAATCCTGATTGAAAGTGCTTTGAATTTTTATATCATTATTTTATTTTATTTAATTAGTTTTATTTCATGCTACAAGGGATATAAGTATTCATTTAGAATCAGAGCCAAATGACTCTTAGGTATCTTTAAAACAATTACCTTTGCCCTCATAGTTAACAACTTAACCAATGCTGAAAGCTGATAGTTACAATAAGCATGTTCATTGTACTGCTTATGGACTATATAAACAGGAATGAGTAAGCAAATATAAAATCAACAAGATATATTACTGAAGAAATCTGAAGATTTGAGAGGATCATGCTCAACAGCAGGAAGATGAAGCAGAACTCTACAATTGGCTTAGCTGTGAAACAAAATTAAAGAGCTGAGATCAGTTTATGTAGGGACTGGAATGACTGACATCTGACCCGTTGTGACCACTTCTCAGTTGCCATTACTTATAAATGCCAGAAATGAGTCTCACAGGGGCTAGGGGCAGAAGTTCCACATAAGATGATTTAAGTGATCAGAAACTGGTTTAAACCTGTAACAGAAGAGAAATCCAGTTCACATAAACCACTTTAAAAATGACCAAAACTGTATAAACCTGGTTGGATGTAGTATCAGACTTAACTGATTTAGGTCAAATTGGTTTATGAAACTTCTGTCCCAGACCCCTTCCTGGTTTAAGTTAACTCACAGTCCCCCAGCATCCCAGGATGCTTTGTAGCCCTGGGCTATGTTGCCTGCTCTGGGCTATGGTTGCCTACCTCTCTGCTCCTTAGCCTGCTTCCTGCCTGTGTCCATCAGCCCATAGGCATGGGGGAGGGCAGAGGAACAGACTCCCTGTCCTCCCTAGCCACAGCAAGTGGTGGGGGAGGGAAAAACCATGTGGCTGGGGCTTTTCAGACCCTGGCAGTCCTCACCCCTCCTCCCACCCCAGCTGCTGATTGTTTCAATGGCTGCCAAAGAAGGGAGGGAGGTGTCCTCTGGGCCAGATGCCTGCTTATGCAGCCCAGCATGTGGTCACTGTAGAGCCCCCACCTTGGGGGGCTTTTTGCTCCCCAGCCCAGGGTCCCCCAGCCCCTGGCAGCCCTAGGAAGCTCAGGGGGATACTTCCTCTCAGGAACCCTGCTTGCCTTTTCCCTGCAAGTCTCAGGCATCTTCTGGGAGTGGAGAGAAACTCTCCTGCTCCTCCATAGCCATGTCTGAAGCAAAATTGATGCAAGGGAGCAAAGGAATTTCCCTCTACTCCTTGGGCTATCCCTGAGACTGCAGCAGCTGAGGCAAGGGCCTGGGGAATTGGAGAATTCCCCTCAGCTCCCTAGGGCTGCCCAGGGCTGGGGGGACCCTGGCCTGGGGTGGGGGGAAGTTCCCCAAGGGCTTCCTGGGTAAGCATCTGGCTGGGAGGACTTCTTCTCCCTCACTCCTGAAGCAATCAGCAGCTGGGAAGGGGGAGAGGAGAATTCATCTCAGCTCCCCAGGGCTGCCTGGGTTGAGGAAGCCAGGCTGGGGGAAACCTCCTGAGGGGGAGGCTCCCTCAAGGAGGGTCCAGCACCTGGACAGGGGGCTCCTTAGCCCTCTGTGGGGGAATAGCAGGGGGCTGGGGACATTTGGCTGGGCTGGCAATGGCCAGTAGGCTGGAAGATGTGCTCTAGCACCCCCTGCCTACTGGCCTGGGTCAGTACAGGCCTCTCCCTGCCTTTCCCAATCAAAAACTGAATGTCAGTTCAGTCAATTATCAGCACAGATCTGGGTTTTCCATTTCCCACGGAAAAACAGATAAAACCATGGATGTCCCATTTTTATCAGAGAAAACATGGATTTTCCCTTTTAGAAGAGAAACCTGTGGATTTCCCCCTTTTGCAAAGAGCTCTGCAGGCTGGCACAGTTCCAGTCTGCAAGAGCTGATTGTAAAAGGGGTGGAGAAAACCTTAACCCTGCCAGGAGGGGATGGGAAGGGCAGGGCCCAACACTCCCACTTACCAGAGGCTGCTTCAGGCTCACTCTTCTTGAGTGGAAATAAGTGGGGCTTGGGGGTTGCAGGGCAGGGCTGGGGGGGGAAGCTGGGTAGGGACTGAGGGGGCAGGGAGGTCTGGAGGCCGCCACAGCCGGGAGGGGGTTTGCAGTCTCCTTGCTCCCAGCTGGAGTGCTCAGCTGGCTACAAACCCCCACCACTCCCAGCCAGCTGCAAACTGGAGTGCCTGGTTGGCTGCAAACCTCTGCGCTCCTCAGCCCCCAGTCAGCTTGGGCACTCCCCAGCCAGGCACTCTGGCCAGGAGGTGGGGTTTGCAGCTGGCCAAGCACTCTGACCGGGAGCAGGCAGACTGCAAACCCCTTCCCAGAAGGTGTGCCCAGCCAGCTGCAAACCCTGGGTTGCAAACACTGTGCTCCCCACCCTGCTGCCCTCCCCCAGGCTCTCCAGAGCACAGCATGTGTGACTGGCACACCCACCCTACCCCCACCCCTCACCAAGATCTGGCCTGACATAGTCATGCATATATCCTGTGCTTTCATATATCCTGTGCTTTCAGCTCTGCTTTGAATGATCAATCCTCAGAAAGTCTCAGTTGTTTTTCTAGGAACTTGAGTATTCTTGGTTTGGTTTTCTGCCCCTATTTTTTGAACATTGTTTGAACTGAAGCTCAGAAGCATCCAGGTTTTCTACTTAACAGCAGTCTATTTTATCATCATGCTAGCATATAGTCCAAATTTATCTCAACTACTACTTATTTTCCCCATAAGGTAGGTTTGCCAGAAGTTGATTCATTTATTGTGGAATTCTATTTTCCCTTGTGTATCTAATGGCAGTTTTCTAACCAAGTACCTGAGTGTTTTTAGCACTTATATCTGTGCTGTGGATGCATAAGTGAAAATATGTATACATACCTGAGCATAAGTTCAGGAAAATGGGCAGAAGGAAGAGGGCCCTCCCACCCTGTAGTTTGACTTACCCAGACAAGGTTTGAACCTGTGTCTTTCTGACTTCCCAGCATAGTGTTCTAACTAGCACACCATACAGCATCAAAGATATTCACATATTTGTAGAGGAATCTAAACTGAGGGGAACAGGAAAGACTATAAAGCTAAAGATAATAAAGTTGTTTTGTTTTTAAACGAGGTATTTTCACTATCATGTTTAACAATTTGGGAATGATCTAGTTCAGTGGGTGTCAACCGTTTTGGCAGCGATACCCTAAATTAGTTCCATGCAATCCCTGAGTGCTACTCCAATCCCCTTCTCCTGCCTGATCTGCTGCTCGGCTTTCTTCTTCCTTCCCTGTGCTCCCTGCCCAGTTTACTGCTTTGCTTTCTGCTTCTCCTAAATGCCACTGTGCTGCTCTTTCCTTGATCTGTGGGGTACCACCCTTAGAGGCTGCCCATGGCACAGGTTGGCCACCCTGATATATTTGATGGAGATAATTTATCATAATACTCAGGGAATAACACAAACTGAAAGGTTTTTAAGCCAATAAATTCACAATGCTCAAGCAACCCAACTTACAAAATCCCCAAAGTGATTTAATTGCACATGTCAATTTAACTCCTAACTGGCATTCCTAATTGCCCACTGATTTCAATTTTAGGTATTTAAATATTTTTGTGGCCAATTATGTTCACTGACAGTATAATTAAGCTAATGTTCATTGGTCTCATTTACCTTCTTAATCTCTTCATAAGTAAGGAAAAGATAGTAATAGGAAAATTAGGAAAATACTGTAATCAACCCCGGGGGAGGGGGGGGCGCGTGTTCCAGCCTCTGACATGATCCAGCCATAAGCTAGAAAGCACTTATCAAGGAATTAGTATTAGTATTAGTATTAAGTAGTATTAAGCAGTCAAATGATAACAAATGTGATTTTGATTAGTTACACAATTAAAATTTAGTCACAACTAATCACGATTTTAATTGCACAGCTAAAAACTCAAAATTATGTGCAGAAAGAACAGTTATGCAAAAATATGCAGGTACTTTGTATGGTTGAGGGGTGGATGTGGGGTCTGTGTGGGGGGGAAATTTGTGAAGGTGTGGGGTGCTGTGGGTGTGGGGGGGGGTTTAGAGCCTGGGGAGGGGGGTTCCCACATACCCTGGAAGAATGTGGGGTACTATGGGTCAGGAAGGAGGGACAGCAGTAAGGCTTGGGGGACTGTGGCTTGGGAGTGAGGATCACAGACACACACACAGGTAGGCACACATACACACACATTGCCCAGCAGGTAAGCCTGTGGAGGGGTAGGGTCGTGGGGGAGCGAAGGCAGGGGGCCAGATCGAGGCCCCCACAGTGACCTCACCAA